GCTCATTACATCTTGGGAGGCTGTACAAAACAATTTCAGAAATTTATTTACATAAAACTGGGACCAAGTAATTATAAATCAAAAGGCTGAGAATGAAACAGAAAGCAAAATCATCACAGATGCTCAGGTCATAAGCCAAAGAGCCTGGCAGATGAGGCAGGAGAAGCTGCCCTTTCCCAGGACATTTGTTGGAATACTGAGCAGATCACCACTGCAGGTGTCTGGCTCAGTAATGATGATGTGAAGGCACTAGATTGATAGCTGGCCACTCAACGAATTAAGCATGTGCTCACATACAAGAACCACTCTTTAATCCAACACTTGCTTTGACTCTAGCAAAAACGTAGGTTAAAATAGAGTTAGGACCAAAACCTGTTTGGTGCTTCCTCCTCCCACTGAGGATGGTATCCCCCACTAGATACTTATCCATGGCCTGCTGCAGCTAATGGAAAGTGTTCCCAAGGACAGTGATGGATGTAGAGGTAGGTTTGAGGGGATGGGGCATTGAGAATGGATGGAAGAGAACAAGGTGCCCGCCACATCCTAAGGCAGCACTACTTCACTACTTTTTAACATTTTCTGTAATGATTCTATGCACAGTTATACATATGGAAAGGCCTATATTGCCACACAAAAATAACTCCCATGGAGGTCATGGAAAAAGCAGGAAACAGTAGCCTGGATGGATTTCTGGTTTTTGTTTTGTATGTTAGCTTATTTGTTTCCATTTTTATCTAAGAAGGTATAACTGCTCTTTCAGGAACCTAGAAATGTAACACCTTCCCAGCTGTGTTACTAGCAAAAAAAAAAGACAGTACTTAGCCTGGATCTGCCCATCACCACCTGTCTGCTGCCTTGTGCTGCTGAGATGCAAGCATCCCTCAGTCGCTTCAAAGGGAATGTGATGAACTCCAAATACTGGAGTTCATATAGTTTTGGCTGCAGTCACATGAGGAGCCATCATTGTGAAGGCAGCTGGGAGAAAGCCAATGGACACTCACCTCCTCCTTCAACACTGTTCCTTAGAGTGACAGTCCATCTAAACTACTTTCACTTTGACCTCTTGCCTTCAAAAACTTCTCAGAAAAAGCATTTTCCCAATCTTCTGCTTAAACCAACACAGATAAGGCTTTCAAAAGCCCTCACGCACATAGCAGGGTCACTGAACGTATTACTAGCACTCCTCAGTAATCATGTGGCAATGCCTTAAGGATCCTTCTCATGTTAGAAGACTCATTTCCACCACAGGTTGCAAATAACCGATGCACTGGATAAACTCCTGAACTCCCCTCTCCCCACCCAAAAAAAAAAAAAAAAAAAAAGAGTGCTTGTAGCTCTTTGCAGGTCTGCACCTAATCTTGAAAATCAAGTTAAGGCGTATCAGGCTGTAGCTATTATGTTTAGGATTTGTTATTTCAAAACTCAGTCCTAAATCAAGTTGCATAAACATTTACTTCAGATGATTTGTGTGTTAAACAGAAGAGAGGGTGCAGTGCTTTTTTTTTTTTCTTTCCTCTCCAAAGTCCAGATTGCTATCTGGCATAGAAAAAGAAAGGATCAAATTAAAAAGTTTACTTTCTATAATTGGGGTGGAGTGGGAAGAAAACATTGACATCAACTCTCTGAGAAGCAAAGGCCGCTGTTGAAATCTTCCATATGAAGACTTGCAAAGTCTTCCATTAATCTACCAATATTATCCAATCCTCATCCTCAAAAGAGGCATGGAAATTTTCTCAGCGAAAGAAGAGTTAATCAATTAAAACATCTTTAGGCAGAAAAAAAATATTGTCTTTAGTTTTCAAAGATCTAAAATCTCTTTTGAGCCTCTAATATTTTTGACTCCATGTTTAAAAGAAGCAGGTGTTCATGCTTCAGAAAAGGACTTTTGTCCATGTTCTGAGGAAAATGAGGATTTTTTCTTTTAGCTGCATGATTAAAGAGGACCATCTAGCTTCTTCAAAAAGGACTTTGAAGTTGAATATCTGCACTCTCTTAACTTCAGCCAAAACCCTGGCTATTTATCAGCTCACTTTTTTTTTTTTCAGTGCTATAAACAGAAGCTTGACAGGCTCTGAATTTACAGAAACAAGCAGTCTGGGGAGCCGCACGGGTCTCTCCTGCCTGGCTGCGTAACTCGTGGAAATGTCCACTGCTTCAGTGGAAATAGCAGGAAAAAAAAACATCACTTGGAAAGGGAAACGTTTTAAAATTGGGGAAGGAGAGAACTGCTTTAGTCCTCTGCTCTCCAGTTACAGGGATGAGGAATCTCTATGTTTGAGAAGGACAATCAGGCAAAAATAAACTTAATATACCTAGTGTTTCTCAGGTGAAATGAAGCATAATAAGTTTCCTTTAACCAGTGCCTTTCCTGGATAATACATTTCTTTATGCTTCACAAAGTAACAGAACTCTTCTCGGCTCCTAAGCATCCAAAAATAAACAAAATAAAAAAATCCATGCTTTATACTTGTATAGGCTACTTCTGATAAAGTACATGTAACAACACTTTCACCTATGTATACCGTGAAGAAAAGCAGAGCCAGACAACTCCCCTTTCCCTTTCTATATCATGTTTCCTAACTGGCATTAGCACTGTTGGACCCAGCGGCTGGGTTTGGGAAAATGTTCAGCTGAGATGGATTAGAAGAACTTTAGGTTGTGTAAGGTGGCATGGTACATTTAGGACACCACAAAAATACATAGGTGAGTAAATTTAAGAATTACCTGAAATTGCAGTACCAACCTCCTCCTTGGTAGGAAATTCAAAACCAGGCTGTTGGATTTGGATCCATTTCAGACATAGTCACCTATTTTTTCAGGCCAAATTTGCACAAACTCCATGTAAAGAAACAGCAACTACTTTAAAAACAGTATTAAGAAGGAAGGAAAAATATCCACCAAGCTACCCAGCTTCAGTTGGGAAGACCCAACCTTCTCTATTTTGACTGGTGGCTAAGTCATGGTCTCCAATTTCACCAGTGCTACCCTAAGTCATATTAGCAGAGAAATATGAAATAGAGCTCCCTGTCTGAAAAACTACTGATAAAAACTCAAGCTGACATCTCTGTCAGCTTGTATAGTGCTTGCCTACCAGACTTGCATACTACTTGTCTACATCAAAGTTCTGGCAGGAGTCTTCTGTCATACTTCTGTCTTATACTTATACATGTATGTTAAACATAGACCATCTAAAAGGAGTTCCTTCTCTGGGGTTTTATTAATAAGAAACCAAATGTTTATCAGTTAAACTAAAACCATTTGATTTGGAACACGGAGAAGAAACCTGTGACACAGGTGGACACTTGCCACCTAAATTTGCTGTCTACGAGGTCAATCACCCCCAGACCAGCACAGCTGTTAACTTCTGCTGATTGCATGTCTTTTTCTTGCCCCGGAGTGGTCTGCTGTCTTATTTTTACACAACAACTCATATGAACCATGACTGGTGCACTCATAGTTATTTGTACACAGCTACCGTGCAAGGCCCTGGCTGCCCAGCCCCAAAGAGCTCCCAACATAAACAAATACATGTATAAAGCAAAGCATCACCTCTTCCAAACAGACTGCTTGTTCTGTAGAGGTACACTGGAGAACCTCAACCCAATGCTACTGGTTGTGCTTGCTGGAGGGAAACGTTAGATGTTTTAAAAATCTTCTAACAGTGATGGAACCAGACTTTATATATTATAGGAAAAAAAAAAAAAAAAAAAAAAACAAAACAAAAAACATAGTTTTTCACAGTGCAGATGGGGGACTGAGGAGTTTTTCCTTCCATTACTTAGAATGCTGGATTTTTGACAACAGAGGTCTCTACATGACGGTGTCTCAAGTGGGCAAAACGCATGCTGTCCAACTATGATTTACAAGTGGACAGGGACATCTACTGTCTCTCAGGACAAGCAAAAGCACTGCACACCTTGCAGACACTGGAAATGTTCACTTCTGCGTCCTCCAGATTTCTTCATAAAGTTTCCAGTTTAGCAATATTTTTTTCCCCTTTTCTGTACTAGTACTACCTGAAACTCAGCATTGTAGTTCTCAGATAATGAAGTGGTTTTCAATCACTTTGGATGTACATATATATTAAAAGATTTAGTTTGTTCCTCACATTTCATTCCTTTACAAAACACAGCGGGAGGATGAAATAAAGGAAAAACCAACCTCATCTTCTTTCCTTTAAAGTTTAGCAAAGAAAAAAACAAAAAACTATTCCGAACACAACCTTTTCTTTCATTTAGAAATCTACGTGGAATTGTTTAGGAAGCACTACTCCTGACATTTCACAATGAATACAAATAAAAAATAAAGCCTACAAGCACTACAAACATTTACAAAAGCATGCTTACAATAAAACTATAGAGTCCTCTAAAATGTCAAGTATTTTTGGTAAACTCCTTGTAGGGTTATTTTTTTTTGGTTGTTATTCACATATGGAAAAAAAATCATAAGCTTAAATACGCATCAGCATTGCAAATATTTAATCACTTCTTACAGCTTATTATTAGAAATTTGTTTAGCTTTTCTTTAAACACTTCAAACAATAGTTTCCACTACTCCCTTGATAGACCAAAATATTCCACAGCCTACTACAACAGCCAGAAAGACTTCCTGAAATTCTGCCAAAATTTTCTTTTCTTTACATCACCTTGCTACTCCTGATTGTACTCCTCTTTCTCATTTATATATAAAATTCTCCCACAGTAAAAATTAGACTGCTTCAAGATGCTTGCCTCCAGAAAAGCTATGCTTCATTCATCTCTAGACCAGCCTTCCTCATACCTTAAATGCTGTCCCTTCCTCTCAAATGACCACACAAAATCAGAAGTAGAGAAAAGTCAAAAACACCCTCCAAAGTCATCCTTTCTTCTTACACACACTGACACATGACCCGAGCTTATTACGTGTCAGAGGTTTCAGGGGATTTTTGTTTTAAAGACTATGCCTTGTAATAAATCTGTGCATAAAGTTTGAAAACACAATAACAAAATCACATCACTTACCTGAGGCACGTTTGAAAACTTTGGAATTCTCAGAAGTTTTCTTTTTAAAGAAAACAACAACTAGGCTGGTAATTTGCAAGTTCTGTTTGCCAAACAGCACATTTATTTTCTGTTAAATAACACATGTAGAAAACTAACCACATTGTAAAATATAACTCATTTTGCCTGCAGCTTCCCTCTTTTATATGATACAAAATTAAACACTTCCTTGGCTTCAGACATAATGGCAGTGATGCTTTTGGTACAAAGTACTTGTAGGTATCTCCACTGGTAGCTCCCACTGCCTGCAATTGCTTGCAATCCTAGCTGCTGACTTTAAAACATCTCCCTTTACTGATAATCTCTTCTGACCCTGTTGTGTGCTGAAGGATAGCAGGTGTCTTTCATAGGAAATTAAGCAGTGTCTTCTGTGCTCATTTGCTGTGATTTTTTTTTCCCTTTCCTACTATTTGTATGGAAAGTGGATGATTTTACTTCTGAGGAGAAAGTGGCAAATGCAGTTTGTGCACTTCAGCATGAATGAAGTACAAGCCTTCCCCTTTTCCCTGAGCAAACAGCCTCTCCCTCTAAAGTGAAAGCTGATGATACATCTTCCCTCAGGCATATGTTTTCCAAGGCAAGATGACTAAATAGAAGGTTGCTGCTCTTGCAAGGCCAGTAACGCTTACTCATTTAAAAAAAAAAAGTTCCCCTTCCTTACTGATGGTTCCCTTTCCTTACTGGTGCAATGCAAATTGTCTGTGTTGCATGCTCTATTAATAACACTATGAACTTTGTGTACATAAAAAGGATGATAAATAACATACAAGATCTACTTTAAGGCTGAAACATTCTCAATGAGAAAGACCTTTGCATTAGAAGTGGATGTGGGTTCTTTTAGCCAATACATTCAAGTCTCAGCTGAGCCCACAGGTCCCACATATTAAAGTGCTATGTGCACAGAGTTTAAACCAGCTTATTTTTGGTTTAAAGAGGCCTTATGTGTTCATCTTTTCTACATCATCTTTGCTGTACAATCCAGCTGATGAGTGTTTTCTCTTGTTGCTTCTTACACTAAGAAAAACATTGAACCATCCTGCAAAGTGACTCCAAACATGAACTGAGGGAAGAAATTCACTTGAAACCTAACAAAGTCATTTCAAGCCTTCTTTGGGTTCTGTACAAGGATTTATAAGAATTTGATGGTGTTTATTTCAGAACAACAGTGTAGACTAGCTGCCACTGCAAATTTTGTTTCTAAAATAACTTGTCAGTTGCCTATGCAAATAAAGTAATAATAGTTAATAAGCCAAATTTCAACACTTAGCCAGTTCTTTTGACTTTGTCTTGAATGAAATCTCCATAAGCACTAGAGGCTGAGCAGGGCAAGCTTGAACAAAATTACTACACAAGAAAGAAGCTATTTTCTGTTACACTATATGATTTTAGATTATAGATTTCACTCTGAGAAACACTTCAGAAATGGCCTGGGCTTGAAGTCACAACAGAAGTAAGTGTAGGCTGAGAGTTCTTCAAACCACTGAAAAATCAAGCCATCTTTCTGGAGCTATCTAAGGAGCAACTGCAGGTTGAACTGTAGTTGCCCGTGTCTGAATATTGTGGCTGACAACTGCAGAGCAAAGTGACTAACGCAGTGATTGCAAATTACAACACACCATAGCTTAGCGTAATATGTCCAGTGCGTTGTACGAGCATGTTTCACAAACACACACACAGTGTATTTTGGTAAAAAGGAGTTCGGTTGCTCATGTCTAAAGTAACCCGGTGACTTCCCTTTCAAGGATGCCCCACTACAAGCTGACATACTTCAATCTGCGAGGAAGAGCAGAAATCAGCCGCTACCTGTTTGCCTATTCAGGCACGAAGTACGAAGACCACAGGATAGAAGCAGCAGACTGGCCCAAAATCAAACCAAGTAAGTAGCACAGATTCTTGTATCTAAAGCTCCCCTAGATATGATGTCAAAATGCAACTGGGGAGGTACCTATGTGTTTCATGACCAGAGAGACATGTTCAACTCTTAGATTCTATGTAAGATATGCGAATTTTATTGCAAAGATTCAAGATAGCCAAAATGTCATTCCTGATGTTCAGACCTAAATCTTCAAGTAATCAAAAATGAGTGACCTGCTGTCATCCAGATGGGCTGTTACTCCCAATCAATTCAGTTCAGGTTTTGTCTGTCTAAAGCAGACCAAATACGTGCTAATCTTCCTGAGTACTGTAGAGGGTTTGGTCTCAAAAACCACACTGCAGCCTTCACCCCAGTTTTACAAAGCCAGGTTGGAAAAGAACTGCCAAGAAGGACACACCTTTGCAATGAGAAAGGTCTTCAAAGGAAAGCGATGAGAGAAAATAAATCAGATGACTTAATGACGAAGGAAAAAAAGGATCAAAAGAGGTATGTCAGTATTGCTGTTCCCAAGAACAGCACAGCCCTACAAAGCCTTCTGAGAGCACGCTGCAGGCTACCATGTTCTGTCCCAAGTTTTTTTAGTTAAAGAAGCCTCCTTTGAAGCTGGGTGTTACTTCTGCTCATTATATTAACCTCAGTTCAAATGAAACCAAGCTTGAGCTGGGAGACTGGGTAGATGAAATCAGAAACATTCGTGCCTTCATTTTGTGGAGTTGTCACATGCTTTGTATACAGGCTATGAAGGTTTAAACATCCAGAAGGAAGAATAGCACCTTAAATTTGGGGAAAATGCACAACTAATGCACAATGTAATTCCCATTAATTAAGCAATGTTTCTTAGTAGGTTTTGATGCCCTTTAAATAAGTCCAGTCAGCAGACTACCTAATTCTTGTAGGGTGAAATTAAATTCAACCCTTTCCCAAAAAGTTCTCAGTGACTTGAATGACAAGTATGCAAGCACTTGCTGCTGTCCTGTAGCAGTTGAAGTAAACGATGATCTTCAAATCCAGAAAACATTAGCTAACAACCCACAAAGAGTTTAAGCAAAACAGTGGAAAGAGGCTATTTTTGGTTAGAGATGACTGACTTTGGAAACCTTTTCTTTGAGCTTAAAGCTTGCTGACCATGTGGTATAGCCTCTCTCACTCTCCCCCCACCTCCCCACTCAGGGAAGTGAAGCAGAAGCTAGAGGCAAGACTGAGAATTCAAATGAATTGAGGAAAAATCTTATTTTTGACCTTTTTCATATTTAGCTATGCACATATTCAGATGCACACAGCAACTTATGTTCTGAAACAAAGTTCAGAGAATATTAGCAATGCGTAAAGCCAGTATCCAACATTTTAGAATTTAAGCAAGACAAAGCATAGATAGTGACTTAAAGGCTACAGAGGTATTTATATCTCAGGAAAAGTTATTCAAATAGCAGGTCTATTAGCCAAGGCATTGCATCTCTAATTGAATATGCCCAGAGTCCAAGTCAACACACTAAATAATGCAGGAAAATTCTTCCTGTGCACAATTCTTCAGCGTTCATAGGATGAACCTCCCTGTGAAGCATTATATATCCTATCCACTACAGTGTATGCCCCGCTGCAACCCCGTTACCACCAAAAGACTTGGAGCAGAGGCACCTTAGAAATCCTAAGTCACGCTGTCTGTAGCTGTATCTGCTGCCTTAATGAATGATTGTTAGGGCATCTAACCTTTGGATGTCTTTCTTTCTTTCTCTTTCTGTGATGTGAAAAGTTTGTGAGAAGATTTACTAAGGGTTAATTAGGATTTTTCATTTTTTTCTGCCTTAATGGCCTTTCATAGCAGCCTCCGCTGTGACTGAAGCCTGGATGAAATTTCACAGTAGATGAGAAATTCAGTACAATGATTTCCAAGAACATGCTACCGCTCTCTGATTAAGGAAACCATTTGTGCAAAATTTATTCTGGTTTAGAAATTTCAGGCTTTGCTTTCAGTCAGTCAGTGGATGGGAACTGGAATGAATCACGCTAATTGACGAGGAAAACTCTCAAATATCAAGAAATAGTTAGCTGTATTACTGAAAGTGCTAATACATCTCATACCTGGATGCTATACTTCTGCCTCAGTAAGACTTGGTAATGGAGGTTTTTGCCACCAGTGATGCCTGCATTGCAGACAGTTTGCAAGAGATTCAACTAAAACCAGAGTTAAGACACCTTGTTCTTGCAAAACAATGTAGCATTGCTAAGGAAATTGCCTGTAGACCAAAAAGCTGATGACTACCACGTCCTCCTCCTCTGTGGAGCAATTGTTACTCACAGTAATTCCAGACAAACTAATTTTCCCCAAGCAAACCATGAAGCGGAACTCTGCATAAATGGTAGCAACAGGGCTTTAAGGCAAACAGCCTTTCATCTTATCAGATCAATGGTCACTGACCCAATATAAGTACCTAAACACTGGCTTTATGTCATGACTTAGCATGAGAAACAATTGCCTCTCAGCTATGTTGTGTAGGGTTTGTGTGTCTTAACACGACAATAACATTTCATATGGCAGATGAAACCTTTCACTGTAAGGCAAACAAGCCACTTGCATTCCCTCTTAACCTGAATTTTCAAAATGTGCCTCAGTTCCTTCCATGGAGGAGTGGATTGAAGAGGGAATGGCCATCAGAAAAAATAGCAGTCCTTGGGAAAGCGAGTTACAGGAACTTGGCCAAAAATTTTCAATTTTCCCTCCAACCCGTTGAGTACACACAGGCATAGTTCACTCTGCTGATGGATTTTCTCACTATTGTCATTTCTAGTCTAGAGATGACTTCTTGTGAAGCTCAGGTATATTTTTTCCCATTTTGCCTGCGTTGTGTCTGCTCCCATAAGAACAATTCTCAATTAGCAGATTCTAGTCGATCTCAGCCTGGTGAAAACAAAAAGGGTGCTAAAACAGTAGGGGGAATTACAGCTACATTTTGATGCAACAACAGCTAAAATAGCAGCGATTTGGTACACCACTTATTTTGTAGGCCTCAAAAACGATTAAAATTTGCCCAGTTCATTGCACATTGAGGTTAAGAAGTAACACACGGTCAAACTGCTTTCTATTAAGAACTATGCACATTTGCATACAGTATGTTTGCATTTACCCATTTATCTTTGGTAGATCTAAAACCATTTTAGACTGCAAAGCCTTCAAGTACAAGGATAGTCTCTTCATGATTCAAGGGAACAAGTCAAATTCTTTGACTTTCTCTAAGAGCACAAGGAGTTGTCTCCACAGAGGAGAGGTTTGCTTCATCAGTTACCAAAACATTAAAGTACAGTTTCACAACAAACACCACCCTCCCACCCAAATCATCATCCCATACAAGTTAGAAAATACTGCCACTCTTCTGAGCAAGAGACTTCATTATTTCTTTTCTGTAAAATTGAAAAGAAGATAGGAAATGCCTGCATTGAGATTAACGTGCAGTAAGTTCATTTAGTAAGCAGACTTGCAGCTGCTGTAAGTTTAATTTTGGACTGGACAGAAAAGTGTGATGTTTTTGTTGTTTGTTTTGGCATTTTCAAGTGGCTCTCACCAGCAAGCTTGTCGTTTTAGCTTCTTCAGTCAAATAAGTTACTCCTTGCTCCTAGAAATACTGTCTCACTTGATTTTGTTTACACCCAAGTGGTAGGAGTTTATTTTTCAGGGGAGAGGTTTTATGTTTATGTTAATTTTATGTTTTATAAAATGAAAAACATATGTCATTTGGCTTATATGCTCTAGAATAATTTTTTCTGTAGCTCAACATTTTTTGATTTTCCTGTTGTTACCAATCAGATAGTTTTTGGTAAATTTTCCATTTCAGGCAAAATTTGTCTTTTTTATATGAACAAGTTTAGGAAAGCTAATATGCAAGTAGTAGTGTTGATCAGCTTAGTACATAATGTAATAAATAAATAAATAAGCAGACCTGAATCTCAAGCAGGAACTTTACATGACCTGTTGCTCTATATAAAGTCAATTGTCAAAATAAGTAAGCAAGCTCATTTTTTACATTTCCTTTTGAGCAGACTGACTTGAATGTACCACATTTAAACTACAGTCAATTCAAGATCTATGCACGATCAATTAATAGGCACTGTCAAGATCTGTATTACCACATAACAGACTCCTCACAAAAAAGTGCCATTGCACTGACAAAAGACATGATAAAGCAGAGAATCCCCTGCAATCGTGCACAGAGTTAGCATCCCCTTGAAATATTGGGCTAGCGTGCAGGAACAGCCACTGCTCTGTCCCTCATTCAAGGAATTTGAAGCAATGACGATTACGCAGACTTTATAGTCATAGCAAATGATGCTTTAATTGCACTAGTAGTTGTAAACATCCCATAAACTGCTTAGGGGGTGGAATGGTTCGTGAAAGGTCGTCAGGAAACTTGACAGAATAATTGCACTGAAAATATTTCCAACCTAATAAGTGAATCTTTAGACATATCTGGCAGCAGACAAGAACTTTGTGAGGGAGCACCCGCCCCATTTCCTGAAGACTGGCTGCTACATAGCTCTAGCTAAAATGGGTATACCAATAACTAGCACTGGGTAAAAGATAGGGCATAGCAGTGTCTTCCAATGGAAATCTGAGTTGTAATAGCTGCACCACTAAAGCTGGACCTACATCTCTAAAAGTTATGGATGCTGGATGTCTCCAACTCCAGTCTGGCCACTTCTCAGGAGCCTTGCTCCTCTGCTGGCCTTACAAAAAGTAAATATTTTGTATGTTTCTATTGGAAGATGCGAAGTATTTGATGTGTTTTTCATGATCCAATTTAAATATTAATGGAAGGGGAAAGTAGTAATGGTCAGTTTTCAATGCAA